CAAATTTTTAGCTGGGGTGCCCAAACTTTCGATCCCCACTGTATATATGTATATATACATGACTTTGTACAGCCCTGCTGCCCTGTAGCAGTACTGCTATAGGGCGGTGGGAAAGTGGGTAAGCTGTAAGTGGTGTTACACCATATTTTGCCATCAGATATTTTGGATGTGTAATTGATGTTTTAACTGTTACATATATCTTGGCTTAAATACAGCACCACAATCTGATTAATTTCAGCTTAAAAAAATCCTTTTTAGGTAGTTTTGGCTGTGACATCTGTTTTTTTTTTTATATTCAGAGTTAATAGACCTGTATTGAAAAAAAAGTAGCCAAGCTAAAAGCTATAGAGGGTTTGTTCTTAATAAAAAAGTAAAGCTTCAATTCTCAACATTATATCAATTAGCCAGTAGCACAACAGTTTATTAGTATAGTTTGTGAGCTTTTTTCTCAGTATCACAATGTATTGCCTAAAAGGTTAATAAAATGTCAAAACAAAGTGCACAAAAACACCTCAAAACCACAACTCAGTGGCGTCCCTAGGGTTGGTGTCACCCGGTTGCAAATGAACATATAGACAAGCCTGATGCATTTTGGAAACAAGTTCTGTGGACCGATGAGGTTAAAATTGAACTTTTTGGCCGGAATGAGCAAAGGTACGTTTGGAGAAGAAGGGGCACAGAATTTAATGAAAAGAACCTCTGTCCAACTGTTAAGCATGGGGTTGGATCAATCATGCTTTGGGGTTGTGTTGCAGCCAGTGGCACAGGGAACATCTCACGAGTAGAAGGAAAAATGGATTCAATAACATTTCAGCAAATTTTGGATGGTAACTTGATGCCATCTGTGAAAAAGCTGAAGTTAAAGAGAGGATGGCTTCTACAAATGGATAATGATCCTAAACACACCTCGAAATCCACGGGGGATTACATCAAGAGGCGTAAACTGAAGGTTTTGCCATGGCCTTCACAATCTCCTGACTCCAACATAATTGAAAATCTATGGATAGACCTTAAAAGAGTTGTGCGTGACAGACAGCCCAGAAATCTCAAAGAACTAGAAGACTTTTGTAAGGAAGAATGGGCAAAGATACCTCAAACAAGAATTGAAAGACTCTTGGCTGGCTACAAAAAGCGTTTACAAGCTGTGATACTTGCCAAAGGGGGCAGTACAAGATATTAACTCTTCAGGGTGCCCAAACTTTTGCAGAAGCCATTTTTTTGTTTTCTGTTATTTTGAAAGTGTAAATGATGGAAATAAAATCTAACTTTTGTTGACATATTATAAGAATGTCTAATCTGTAATTTGATGCCTTTTGGAGATTTTTCCATCTTTCCTTGGCTTCTTTATGCACATTAATACAAATTTTTAGCTGGGGTGCCCAAACTTTCGATCCCCACTGTATATATGTATATATACATGACTTTGTACAGCCCTGCTGCCCTGTAGCAGTACTGCTATAGGGCGGTGGGAAAGTGGGTAAGCTGTAAGTGGTGTTACACCATATTTTGCCATCAGATATTTTGGATGTGTAATTGATGTTTTAACTGTTACATATATCTTGGCTTAAATACAGCACCACAATCTGATTAATTTCAGCTTAAAAAAATCCTTTTTAGGTAGTTTTGGCTGTGACATCTGTTTTTTTTTTATATTCAGAGTTAATAGACCTGTATTGAAAAAAAAGTAGCGAAGCTAAAAGCTATAGAGGGTTTGTTCTTAATAAAAAAGTAAAGCTTCAATTCTCAACATTATATCAATTAGCCAGTAGCACAACAGTTTATTAGTATAGTTTGTGAGCTTTTTTCTCAGTATCACAATGTATTGCCTAAAAGGTTAATAAAATGTCAAAACAAAGTGCACAAAAACACCTCAAAACCACAACTCAGTGGCGTCCCTAGGGTTGGTGTCACCCGGTGCGGGAACACTTGGTGACACCCCCTCTCTTTCTGCCCGTGTTCTCCCCCCTCCTCTCTGCCCTCTTTCTCCCCCCCCTCCCCTCTCTCTCTCCCCCCTACCTACTACATGAAGCTGCAGTGCTGTCACCAGGGTCGGGGATTACACACTGACCTGCTGCATACTCTGCCCGCCCCTCCAGCTCTCCGACTTCAGCACCCGTGGCAGGGATGTGGACCCGCCCCTCTGCTGAAACTCCGAGGAGGAGAGGTGTCCGAAGTGCCTGCCTCACTGTCTGTCCCCTCAATGCTTGCTTATTTCAGCAGCGACACATACATGGATGGACTGAGTCTCTCAGGGGCCCTGTAGTGACCCCGGGCCCTTGGTCAGTGCTCCCCTGGTGGAGCGGGTCTGGTGTCACCCCCATGCAAAAAGGTGTCACCTGGTGCGGCGCACATCCCTCGCACCTGCCTAGGGACTCCCCTGCCACAACCCCTCATTCCCTAAACCCATTCCCATCTCTGTATCACTAATTATTTCCCCCAGAAATCAAAGTATAGGCTTCAGGTATGCATTTGGTAGAAATTGGTTAGAATCAGGACAGTTCATGAGTGCTTGGACAGACAGAAAATGTAAAAATAGGCAGAATGTAAAAAAAAACAAAGCAGGTGTTAACTTGCAATAAAAATGTGAGTGTATAGCCACACATTTTGTTCAGTGGCTGGACAGTATGTAAGAATCTTGGGTAGGCAGCAATATGAGATTGTGGATTGCAGTTGTGAAAAATTTGTGTGGCTGTTTTACAGTGCTGGAGAATTGGAACAGCCCAGCAAACATTAGGCCAAATGTGTGTTTACCACTTCTAGTGCTGGAGCGCTTGAATAGGCCAGGAGAGGTGATAGGAGCTGGTAATGGTTGTGGTAAGTGGAAAAAATATTCTATGTGGGTTTGGAAATACATGTCAGTGCAGACCTATTAGTATCACCAGCAGAGTTTTTTTAATGAAAGTGAACCAGTCTGTACTGTTAGGGGACAGGCAGATTTGACGCTCAATAATAAAGCCTTTTGCTGTACTAAAGGCCCACTCAGACAGCATACTGGTCCTCACTGCATCAGTCCTGGACCTGATGTAGTAAACAAACATTTGGTTCAGGTACTACCTGTGAGTGGTGCCTGAAACTGGACCTGTGTATTGTGTTTTAAAAAAAAACTCCTAAAAGTAGACACCACTTCTGTTCCGCTTTTCTGGGATCAGTGGATTGGAGACAAGTTGATCTTTAGAGGGAAAATGTTCTAATGCAGCACCTCCTCAAAGTGCTATATTTTGGACTACCTCAGGGGTAGTGTCAGTAGATCAATCGTTTTATCCTAGTATCAGGATTCAAAGAGTGTGTGCTCCTCATCGCAACTCACCATTTTAGTCACCTCTTCAAAAGGTGCCAAAATGCTACACATGTCCTGAATGATGAACCACTGATTCAGTGAACAGAAAATCTGTTTCCCAGAACCTTGCCTGACTGAAGATGGTGTGGAGTTGGCCACACCTTAGCTTGGGACTGGAGAGCTGCAAGAAGCCCTGGTCCAGTGTGGTTCCTTCCTCCCAGGCATACAAGTTGCAAAAAAGGCCACTAGAATGTCGTATATGCTCTGGGGTGCTTGGAGGGGGGAAAGGGGCACAACTGGTCTTGATGAATTGGAGAATGAGATCAAGGAGCAGGGAGTATAGGTGACTGCTCTCTCACTAATGCGCAACAGCATGGTCCAGTGACACAGACACATTACATTTCATATGCTGGTGGAGGGGCAAAATAATAGTGACTAGGTACCTGCCATTGTGGTGTTGCACAGGTCATACATTCACAGAGGGAGGCTTATTCCACAAGTCAGAATGGGAGCATCTGCAAAGCTCACAGTTTTGCCAAGCTGTCATTATGAAGCTGGGCATGGGGGTGACTTGGAAACAGTTTATTCTTTGCCCCGGGAGCTGTGGAAGAGACAACGGTCTTTGGAAAGATGCTGCTGGAGACAGTGGGTTGAATGTAGAAGAATTCTTCAGAGGTCCAAGCCTTCACTTGACCCTACTCTGTATGGCACTATGTCCCTGTTTGATGTAATATCGTGTTATACATGCATTGTTGTTTGTTTAACTTTAAATCGTTTTGTCCCTTCATCACTCCATAGCTAGGAAATGCTCTATATAGCTGGTCCCACTCTCTTTTCAGTGTGTCTTTAGTTTCTGTTCTTAGCACATGTAATTGCTGAAGCTGGACATACTATGATTTTTTGACCTGATCTGATGTTCATCTGTGAATCTGCACAAGTTTTTGAATAAGGCTTTCTATGATCTGCAATATGTCATTTGGATCAAGTCACTATCTGCTAATGCTGCTGAGATTGTAAGTTATAGCAATCTCACAACAACTGGATCATTTATAGTGATCACATTTGCAAATTGGGGAAGCAGAGCAGTCAAAAAACAAACTATAGCTTCAGTCAAAAATCATCTTTAGCTCTGGAATACACAGTGAGATGTGATATGGACTCTGGGTATACAGAATCTTAGGACTGTGCAGCCATTTTCAGACAAGCCTGTACATGCCTGCATGGTAATTGTAGCATCCTACAGCCTAAAAGAGATCAATAATCTAGTATTTTTCTAACGGACCTGTGTTATACAAGTTGTGTATCCTATATGTACAGTATACAGTGGACGCTGTCTGCAGTACTACATGCCATTCTGATTTCTGCTTATAATACAGCTGTCCATCCAAAGTCCAAACACAGACATGTCACAGTTCACTAAATACATGCTTCACAATGAGCTCATCAAGACAGTTATATCGTTTTGGGTGGGCCAACGCAATATTGAACCCTGCAGACTAAATCTGAAATGCCTTTAACTGCCTCCCACCCGCCATATAATGAAATGACATGTGCAAGGTGGTTCTCTCGTTCTGGGAGGACGTCATATGACGCCCTCCCACTCTAACCGCACGTGCGTGGCTCCGGGGGCGCACAGCGTGGTGATCGGTGGTGTGCTGTGTCCCTCGTACACAGCGGATCACCGATCAATCGAAAGAGCCGAAGACGTCGGCTCTGTCATGTGATCAGCTGTCTCCAATCACAGCTGATAAACATGTAAATAAGGAAATGCTGGTTATCGGCATTTCTCTCCTCACAAGCTGTCACGCTGACAGCTCGTGAGGAGAGGAGAGCCGGTAATCGGCATTCCTCAGAGGGGATATGTACACTGATCATCAGGGCACTGATGATCAGTGTGCCCTGATCATCAGTGTAGCCCCATCAGTGCCACCTGTCAGTGCCCATCAATGCCAGCTGTCAGTGCTAGTCAATGCCACCTGCCAGTGCCCATCAGTGCCACATCAATGCCACATATCAGTGCCCATCTGAGCTGCCTTTCAGTGCCGCCTATCAGTGCGCATCAATGCCGCCTATCAGTGCCCATCAGTGCTGCCTATCAGTACCGCCTAACAGTGCCAGTCAGTGCCGCCTATCAGTGCCAGTCAGTGCCACCTATCAGTGCCATATATGAGTGCTGCCTTTCATTGCCCATCAGTGATGCCTATCAATGCCAATCAGTGCCACCTACCAGTGCCTCCTCATCAGTGATGCCTATCAGTGCCCATCACTGCAGCCTCATTAGCACACATCAGTGAAGGAGAAAATTCACTTATTTGCAAAATTTTATAACAGAAACTAAGAAAAAACTTTTTTTTTTCAAAATTTTCAGTTTTTGGTTTGATTAGCAAAAAATATAAAACCCAGAAGTGATTAAATACCACCAAAAGAAAGCTCTATCTGTCACAAAAAAAATATACAAAATTTCATATGGGTACAGTGTTGCGTGACCGCGCAATTGTCATTCAAAGTGTGACAGCACTGAAAGCTGAAAATTGGCCTGGGCAGGAAGGGGGTATAAGTGTCCTGTAGACAAGTGGTTAAAGTTCATGTGCATGTAAAGGCAGGCATCCCAATATTTTTGGCAATATAATGTATATACGCTTACCAGAGAACATATGACTTTATGTATGAGAATTCAAGAGAGCTTGTACAAATCTGCCCAGCAGTCAGCGGTACATACAAATCCATCACTCCACCACATCATATGTACCTCCACCACCACCACCACCATCACCTCATATGTACTCTACCACATAGATTTTCCACTATTTAGCTATACTCAACTTTCAGGTAATATAAATTCCTTTCCAAATTAGAGAATAATCTGCTATCTAAATCTAAAGTTTGTAATGAAACAATCCTCACACTGTAGGGAAAGCTTACCCAGGAGGTGAGCATCTCCTACAAAACTCATCACATTAACTGGGAAAAGACAATCCTCTCAACTACTTGGCATACCGGTCTCACACTGGTGAATCAATATGGGGGGAGAGCGTTGGTACTACTATGGAATAATTTTTCATGTTACTGGCCAGCCTAGAAAATGTATGCACCATGACCAATAATAAAAAAAACACTATATAAAATAATATCTATTTCCAATAATGGGGATACTTGTAATTTAAAAAAAATCAATTCAGGAAATTAGATCATGGAAAGTTAATTAATTAGAACTGAACTTAATCAAGAAACAGCCCAAGAACTTTATCTGGAGATCATATGCATATAAACTAGCTTTGATTTATGTCTTTTACATTTTATTTTTCTATTTAAATGGCTTTAATTTTCTCAGTTAAAATGCCTCTGTTTTATGTAATAAAAGTGATGTGCTTTATAATCTAGTAAAAACAATGAACCAAGCTCAGTAGAAGATAAGAGTGTCAATGATTCATTAAGGCTGAAAGGTTTTCCCCTTTAGCTTTTCAATCCTACCAGGGTAAATCTAGTAATATATCAGACATCCAGACAGATTAGATGCTGTCTAAAAAACAATAGGTAGGAGGCTCTGGTCTCATTCCACAGGTTAATGTAGAGTTGAAGGTTGAACTGTGTTAATACTGGGCAGAAGGATCTTTAGAGCACTTCAGATTGAAACCAAAAGGACAAGTAGGAGCATTATGCCTGAATTTTAACATTCAAAAATACATGTGTATTTAATAAGATAATAAATAAAAACAAATAAAACAAATAAAAGATCAAGTGTAACCAAAGTGTTTCAGTGGCTCAAAGATTCTCTGTTCTTCAAATGACATAAATGATTTAAACATTTGTAAGTATGACATGTAAAATGGTGAACCTTACTGAAAATTAGATGGGATTCTGTACCCTGTTACTATTTGTGCATTTCCACTACTTCTAGGATGTTCCACTAATCTGTCTTCCTCTTGCATATTAGCTGTTTATTTGCACCTGGTTTAGGCCTGTGTCTCTACCCAATTATCAACTTTTTCATCCACTCTCACAAATCTGGCAATATTGGTACACAATCTGATCTTAATGTAATTGTTTACATTAGATTGTGCTTCCCAGCTTTCCATGTCTTTTTGTTAATTTGCTTGACCTTTGTACTACTGAGATACCTATAAGGGCATCAGATCAAGTATCCGAATTATGCTTCCGGGTACAGGGAATGCACATGTGTAGTGTGTACAGTGGTCTCATCATCTCAGAATAGAAAAAAATATTGTTTATCCATCAGAAAACAATTAATAATTATATCTCAAAAGATTAATGTTTCTGGCAATGCTCATAGCTCAGGATTGTAGATTTATTTTTCTGGGGGGAATCATTAGGCGATGCAGCCAGTGCACCATGGTGAATTGTGGATGTGGTAAATTTGCTAACAGTAGGAGGGGCTTCAGCTTTAGCCTACTCCCAGTATTCACAGTAACATACAATATATTGTCAAAAGTATTAGGATGAATGCCTTTACACGCACATGAAATTTAATGATATCCCAGTCTTAGTCTGTAGGCTGTCCACAAGGTTTAGGAGTGTGTGTATGGGAATGTTTGACCATTCTTCCAAAAGCGCATTTGTGAAGTCAGGCACTGATGTCCGACGAGAAGGCCTAACTCGCAGTCTCCACTTTAATTCATACCAAAGGTGTTCTATCGGGTTGAGGTCAGGACTCTGTGCAGGCCAATCAAGTTCCTCTGCCCCAAACTCACTCATTTATGTTTTTATGGACCTTGCTTTGTGCACTGGTACGCAGTCATGTTGGAACAGAAAGGGGCCATCCCCAAATGTCCCCACAAAGCTGGGAGCATGAAATTGTCTAAAATGTCTTGTATGCTGACACCTTAAGAGTTCCCCTTCACTGAAACTAAGGAGCCAAGCCCAACCCAAACCCCTGAAAAACAACCGCACACCATAATCCTTCCTTCACCAAATTTAACACTTGGCACAATGCAGTCAGGCAAGTACCTTTCTCGTCCATCAGATTGCTAGACAAAGAAGCGTGATTCGTCAATCCAGAGAACACTTCTCCACTGCTCTAGAGTCTAGCTGTGGTGTGCTTTACATCATTGAATCCGACGCTTTGCATTGTACTTGGTGATGTAAGGCTTGGATGCAGGTGCTCGGCCATAGAAACTCATTCTGTGCACTGTTGTTGTGCTAATCTGAAGGCCACACAAACTTTGGAGGTCTTTAGCTATTGACTCTGCAGACAGTTGATGACTTCTGCGCACGGTGCACTTCAGCATATGCTGACACCGCTCTCTCATATAACGTGGAATACCACTTCGTGGCTGAGTTGCTGTTGTTCCCAGTTGCTTCCATTTTGTTATAATACCACTAACAGTTGACTGTGGAATATTCAGTAGCAAGGAAATTTCACAGATGGACTTATTGCACAGGTGGCAACCTATCACGGTAGCATGCTGGAATTAACTGAGCACCTGAGAGCAACCCTGTGATGGACACACAGGAGCTGAGGACTGAAAGTCTTCCTAGAAGGAAGTTAGAAGATAAGCAGAACTGCTGAGAAATATAGTCTTGTATGGGCTCTGCTTCACTTTCTAAACTGCTGGGACTTGTAGTTTCATATTGTCTATGTGGCTCCCTGGACACTGACTCTGCTCTCCTCTTCCTGCAACTGTTGCCTGTGTGGTCTTGAAGCTGCAGCCTTAGCGGATGAGTCACTCCTAATTAACCCACAATGGAAGAAGCCTGCTGCCAAGGCACCCCGAGCTGCCAGGATGCCCAGCCCTGCACCATTGCCAGATGGGCCCCCAAACAGTGCCAGCCCCATGGTCCCTGCTCCAACCTTGTCCAGACACTTCACAACAGGCCCCCAGACCTGCCTTAGATAGGTGTTGTTTTGGCTGTGGGCAGACTGGTCACTTTCAGGTCATCTGCCCTGCCAAGAAACAGACTAGCTTGCCCAAGCCAGTACACTATGTGGATCTGTACCAGGCTCCCAAGGAACTACCTCCACCCCCTCCAGACTGGAGTCCCCGCTCCCACTGACAAGGACATCCCCCAGGAGTCTTTGGCCTACAGCCTGTGGGAACCCCTACCCGAGTCTCCAAGGAAAGCACCTGTAAGAGGTTACTGTGGATGGACAAAAGGCAGTTGGATTCCGAGATTCAGGGGCCTTGCTCACTATTGTGGACCCCCGGGAGGTGCGCCTTGGTGCTCTACAGCCTGGCCCTGGGATAGTGATCCAACTAGCAGGAGGCACCAAACGCTTCATCCCTCTTGCTACTGTCAATCTGGACTATGGGTTGGGGTCTAAATGCTGCAATGTGGGAGTAATGGGAGGACTACCTGCAGATGTACTTCTTGGGAAAGATGTGGGCGACCTTTAGTGTCACTTTGTTGGAGCCATCATGCAAAGTGAAGCCCACTTGGGAAGCCGATGGGAGGAAGGAGGCACCCCAGCATGTGGATAGAACTCCGCTACCCGTAGTGACTCATACTCGACTGCTGACATTACTGGGGTGATATGGGATGAGGACAAGTTTCAAGGGGACTTAGCCACTGACCCTTCTCTGACAAGCTTCTGGGCCCTGGTAATGCTGACTAGTCCTGGAACCCGGCAAAAGGATAGTGCAAGAAAATGGGTTGCTGTACCGAGTTGTAGAGAACATTGCTGAGTGGGGGGGACCCAGACCGTTGCTAAACAGCTGAAGTGCCCCAACAATTCTGGACCCAACTGCTGCACCTTGCCCATGACATTCCCTTGGCTGGGCATCAGGGAAAGCTACGAACAGAAAAGAGGTTGGCCCCGGCCTTCTATTGGCCTGGGATGTCCCAATCGGTAGCTCGCTACTGTCGCACCTGTGATACCTGCCAGTGACACGGGAGAACTGGTGGCCTTTGGGCACCTCTACAGCCCTTACCCATTTTTGAGGAGCCGTTCTAACGAGTAGCTGTTGACATCCTGGGGCCCTTAGCTCGCCGCAGCGAATCTGGAAAGCGGTACAGCCTGACCATCGTAGACTATGTTACTTGTTATCCCAAAGCAGTAGCTCTGTCCAGCATCACAGCACCCAAAGTTGTGGAAGCCATGGCTACCATTTTCACACGTCTGGGCTTCCCTGCTAAAATCATATCAGATCATGGGACTCAAGTCATGTCAGACCTTCAGTTCCTCTGGCAGACCTTTGGGTGCGGGCTATATGGACCACCCCATATCATCCCCAGACAAATGGACTGTGTGAACACTTCAACGGGACCCTGAAGGCCATGGTATGGGCCTTTGTGGACCTAGAGCCAGATTGGGAATGGTACCTGCCCCACCGCCTCTTTACCTACCGGGAGGTACCCCAGGAATCTACAGGATTTTCTCCCTTTGTACTGCTGTTTGGGAGGAAGGTCCGTGGCCCCCTGACCCTACTGAAAGAATACTTAGAGGGTCGACTACAGGATACTGGGGTCCCTGTGGTGTCCTACATCCTGGAACTGCGTAAAAGGATGGGCCAACTAGCCTGCCTCGCAGCTGACCATCTCAAAATAGCCCAGGTTCGGCTATGGTATGACTACAAGGCTCACACCCGGAAGTTTGCTGAGAACCAGCAGGTCCTCATGATTGTCCCAAACCCTCAGAACAAACTGCAATCCACATGGGAGGGTCCGAATCATTAAGAAAGTGAATGAGACTAACTTTGTTCTTGCACTGGATGATCGGGGGAGGCGGCAGAAAACAGTGCATGTCAATATGATCAAGGAGTACCATGACTGAAATCCCCCTGTCATGGTCATCTGCCCGATACCCTCTGAGGATCACGAAGAGGCCGTGCTGGATCTCCTGAAAGCAGCGTGCCATCCAACTGATGTGCACCAGGTTCCCCTGGGTCTGCAGCTTAACATGGGACAAAAGATGGCCATGAATGCTTCAGCTCCGTTTTTTCTGCCTGGCCTGGAAAGAGCACTATCACCACTCACCATGTGGAGACCCAGCCCCTCCAACAAGCCCCATGTCCCAGGAACCGTTAAGAACACTATGAGAGAGGAACTGAACAAAATGCTGGATCTGGGAATTACTCAGCCCTCCCAAAGCCCATGGGCCTCCCCTGTTGTTCTTGGCCCCAAGAAAGACGGCAGCATCCGATTTTGTGTAGACTACCTACGCCTCAGCAATCACATGGTTAGTGATGCCTACCCAATGCCCCATATCCATGACCTGCTGGACCGTCTGCTGGGAGCCCGCTATGTCACTACCCTGGACTTAAACAAGGGCTACTGGCAAATCTCATTAATCGCAGAGGGTCGGGAGCGCTCCGCCTTCATCTCCCCCCTCGGCCTGTTCAAGTTTCTCAAAATGCCCTTTAGAATGAAGAATGCCCTGCCACCTTCCAGCTGTTGTAGGGCTGTCATGACTTTGCCTGAGCCTACCTTGATGATATCGTCATGGTTAGCGAAACCTGGGAAGACCACCTCTGGCATGTGGACCTTGTCCTGGACCAAATTGCAAGGGCCAACCTCACTATCCGGCCAGACAAGTGCCAGAGGGGGGAAACTGTACCCAGAACTGGCTAAAATAGAAGCCATTAAGGGAATGACCCACGCCCAAAACTAAGAAACAAGTTATGGCTTTTCTCGGCAGTGCTAATTATTATTACAAATTTGTTCCCCATTTCAGCATAACTGCAAAGGCACTGATGGACCTCACCAAGAAGGCCATTCCCTGGATGGTAACTTGGACCCCGGCCTACCAGACCTCTTTTGACCTGCTGAAAGAGGCCCTTTCCCATGACCCCGTCCTGGCAGCTCCCAACTACAGCAAAGATTTCTCATGCAGATGGATGCCTCTGCTTATGGTCTGGGGGCCATCCTCAGCTAGGTAAATGAGGAGGGGAAGGAGCACCCTGTGGCCTTCCTTAGCAGGAAACTACTGGACCGGGAGGTAGCCTATGCCACCATAGAGAAGGAGTGTCTGGCCATAGTGTGGGCATTGAAAAAACTTTAACACTATTTGTATGGCTCTCAGGGGATGATGGCCGCCTCTTACGATGGAGCCTGGCCTTACAACCTACAAGCTAGTTACATCGATTGTTGCCATTGCATGGGTGTGCGCAATTTTAAACTGTAACATGCTTGTATCTATATACTCGGCGTAACATCATCATTTATATTTTACAAAAAAATTGAGTTATGTAGTGTGTTTTTTGCATTGAAACTCAAAAAAAGTGTATTTTTTCAAACAAATTGTGTTTGTAATACTGCCGCACAAATACCGTGTGACAAAAACATTGCAAAACCCACCAATTTATTCTCTAGGGCTTCTGCTTTGAAAATATATAATGTCTGGAGGTTCTAAGAAATTTTCTAGTAAAAAAATACTGATTGTTACATATAAACAAAAAGAGACAGAAAAGAGCTCTTCAAATGGATATTTATTTATTTAATTATTTATTTATTACAGGTACTTATATAGCACCGTACATTCACATCAGTCCTTAGCCTTCAAGGACCTCTGATCTGTATGCTCATGACCTATTGCCTATGAACCACTGTTACCCTCTAAAGTTCTCAACAAACATTCATACATACATATACTAGGGCCAATTTAAACAGGTGCCAATTAACCTACCAGCATGTCTTTGGAGTGTGGGAGGGAACTGCAGTACCCAGAGGATACACATGAAAGCACAGGGAGAACATGCAAACTCTATGCAGGTAGTGTCCGTGGTTGGGATTCAAACCAAGACCATAGTGCTGCCAGGCAGAAGTTCTAAAGCCTTAGTCAATGATGTCATAAGGCGCTGGGATCAGCTTACTGACCAAATATAGATAATTCCATATATAATCAAGTGACATCACAAGGTGACCTGCTTCTTTGTTTACTTCAGCAGTGGGGGGGAAGCTGAATGTCATTCGGCGTTAGGCATGCAATGGGAGTGGTCGAGTGTCAATGTTTTTTTTTTTTTTGCCTGCAGGTCGGTAGCCATCGATCATCTTCATTTTATTTTCCAATAATTAGAAAGATATCATGTCATAAAAGTAGTTGTCAAACAGCGCAAGAAACACATGGTTTAATAAACAGAGGACATATATTAGGAAACTAGAGAATCTGCTTTCAAACAACTGGGTAATTCAAGTAGAAAGTTTCCAGAATTAATCCGACTATATACAGGTAATAAAGTTAGTGGTAGGGCAAAGGGGAAAGGGAGGCTAGAGAGGGATGAAAAAGGAGGGTCAGGGATCCTGATAAATGGGAAAGGGAAGAAAACCAGTGTTCATAAACCCAATAATCATACAGAACAAATGTTGCTAAAAACATGACAAACGTAGTAGGGCGAATAAGGAGTAGTCTCAACTAGCCCCGGAGAACAGAAAAATAAAAGGGGGGATAGTACAATGTAAAAAAAAAAGGGTAGACAGGAATGAGGGAAAGAGAGGGTCAAATCGGGAGATATCAAGGCACAGAAATGTATTGAATCCACGGGTCCCACGTTTTATCAAATTTGTTAGTATTGT